GATACGAGTGGTAGCCCATGGATTTTTAGCAAAAATATTGATTTTTGAGGCTCATTRGACAGGTAAACGTCCAAAGGGGTTGACATATATGAACGCCTTCCCAGCTGGTGAGGATGCGCGCRTGCACCTGGCGTGAGGATCTACCCAAAGCGCAAGCCTGCTGTGCTACGGCCACAGCTCAACTCAGCATCAGCCAGAAGGCTACAAACAGAAAAAAATATATATTCTTACCGTACAGTGAGCCACCGTTTGCATCCGATTTTGCTCCCTCTCTTCAGCCTTTTTTATTTTGTTATTATTTTTTTTTATGTCGCATGTAATGTGTCGGGTTTTTCCGGCCCGGGACCCAAAAGGTTTTCAACTATGTGACAAAAAATACAAAAACTGTTTACAATTTATGACTGGACTGAGGWTATTTTGATCATTTTTAGTCTGATCTATTTTCTTGTCTGAGGTTAAATAATTTTCAGTCCCGGGGTTCAGTTTCATGATCATTCAAGTTTAAACAATAAAAACTCAAACTAAAAAAGATCTGACACTGTGTTCAGATGCTCCTTACATCCAGAAAACACAACAAAGTCATATTTCTGTGGATTCAGGTCAGATTTGTGACTTTGTGGGTTAAAACTGTSGRCTGAMAAACTTTGCGTGGCTGCCGCACATTCTCACGGCAKGTGAAAAGTGTGTGTAAACATACGTACACTTTCACGCAACGTTGGTTTTCATACATCACAACGTGGGCATAGAACCTGGCGCACGTAACTTTTTTGTGCGTACACACCGTTTATACGAGGCCCCAGATATATGTCCAATTTAAAACAACATACTGAAAAGGCCTGTGTCAGATTTGAGAAAATTGAATTTGTCACATTCAGATTGTCATGAAAAAAATCCTATATGTGTTGTATAGAGGCTAAAAAGTCTGATTTGGCTTGTACTGTATTTGCCTGCAGTGTCAATGTAGCCTTTGATTACAAATTTTTGGTTTTCAAATTTTGTGATACTAATTATTTTATAAACTTTTCACATTTACTGCAAATCAAGATCACTATAAATGTAACAGACTTATCAAGTAGATAAAATGAGATGGACACAAATATCGTGACCACTAAAGGTGGAGTAAAAATGTGAATACATTTCCATATTAATATTATTTTGTATCATTCCACCAAATAATTTTCAGTTTTGGGTACCTAAGTATACCTTTGAACACCTTTATTGAATAAATAAACAAAACAAGCCTTCTTAATTATTTGGTGCATTCAAGTTGTGACCCTATTCAACACCTAATGAAATAAGTTGTTTAAGAGCTTTTAAAAAATGGATAGTCACAACAAGATAAGTAGGTTATATACATAACAGCTGCAATAACAACAGCTTCCTAACATGCAAGCAACAACAAACGGTTCAGTCACTGTTGAGGAGAAGAAAAGTAAGGCCACTCTTTTTCATTTCACAGGTAGAAGCACTTAACAAACACTCAAGGGAAGTGCTTGTAGAGGTTCCTGTTACTAAGCTACAATTGCAAACTCATTTGAGGCAATGCAGGCTTTCACTTAAATTTGAAATATTTATAACTTTTAGCATTTGGTATCTAGGGTGCTAACCATTTGTTAAGCTCCCATTTCCATAACGGAAAGTGCATAAAGACTTTTCTTTTTTTTACATGGAACAAAAAACATGGGAACTGTAGAAGGGTCCTAGAGGACAAAGAACCAAAACCCTAATTCACTTTGTTTTAAACAAATCTATAAACTTGCCTGTGGGTATAACTACTCATTAAGCAGGTGAGCAGGTTTATAAATATTTCTGATTATAGTAATACTTTGTTTCTTGTTGCAGAGGAAACAGATCTAGATGGAACATTTAAAGAGGCAATATTATGTGTTTCTCAAGCATATATTTAAATACTATACCATAATAAAGTACAGTATCTATGTCACCTTTAGTTGTTATTAAAATGCTGTTTTTATGTTCAAATAGAAAATAAACTTATCTTCTCATCAC